TTTATCCAACATTCAGTTCTAAGGATCATTGTCAGAAAAATCAGAGGTACCATGTGAGACGAATCCCACATCAGGAGCCCTTTCGAAAGACAAGCTTTAATTAAACACATACTATCAAGCTTAGTTACCGGGCTGAATTCATCACCTTGTACTACAGAGGCTGAAGAGATGATTTAGTGGTTTCTGTGGATCTATATTCTCATCCGAATTTACATAAAGATGAGATACCATGAAAGCATATCCCAGATTATAAATTACTATCTTGTTACAGCGAATTGATCTAGGTAGAATAAATTTCATCAACTAAAAAAAACCTAAAGATTTTTTAGTGAAGTGTAATAAAAATTGTCCAACAGTTTTGTGGAAACACATTCTCTTCTGCACAGTTTCATGTCGTATCTATCCTTGTTCCAAAAAAACTCCATCTTAAATATATTTTTTTTTAAATCCAGCATTATGTGAAATTAGATTTGGTCTTGTGATCTGTGAGTTGATAGAAAAATTTTTGAGGAGCATCTTGATTTTTGCAGTCATTGAAAAAAAAGTTCACAACCTACATTCCCTTTTTTAAAGTGACATTTAATGCGAATGCATACGTATTTTAATTATGCCATTTTTAATCACCTCTTAAATTCTCAGAAACCTCTCATTCTCAATTTACTTGGAAGTCCAGAGATGCTCTTTACCATTCAGATTAAATTAAATTTGCATAATTTTGCCCTCTAGTGCTAGTTGATTTTCTATGTGTCAAAAAACCCTGACTTTTTTTCCACAAAGTCTCTAGACAAATTAATGAGTTAAGTGCCAACAGCCTCTCATGCCCATCCATGGTACACACAGTTTGTTCAAAAGAGCCTCAGAACTTTTCAGAAGCAATAAACCATAAAAAATTGTCAACTTTGTATCTGAACTGCTTCTCCTTAGGTTCACTGGAATACCTTGTGTTTAATGTGTCTTGGTTTGAAAGACAATCGTATTCCAAATCTGAAGGATCATACCTCCAGCAGAGGAACCCAAATGATACATACTCTCTCAAGACCTGGCCCATCAACTTAATTCAAGATCTGCGTGAATCATTGCATGTTGTGGAAATGAGGGAAAGGGAGATGTTTGCCTTCCCAGGTCAAACATCTGCTTGAAAGTAAACTTGCCCCACTTGAAATTCTTCGCATGGATTAAAATTTAATAGCTTCACTTTTTCCCTTCAGTGATCCCACTGCTGAACTGTCAGACCAAATCACTGCAAAATCAGTACCAAGGTCTTTTAGGTTGATATCTTGTATTACCAAGGTGCCATCTTCAGTTAGAGTGCTAGAGGTGCTGCCTTCTCCACTAGAACATCACCAGATCTACTCAAGCAGCACAGCTGTGTAACTCCTCTGATCAGAGGCAAAAGAGCTCATAGGAAGAGAAAGACTCTAAGTTCTAAGGACATGTTGTTTAAATCAAGGGAGGCTACAAGATGCTTCAGGGAAAAAACTCTTCTGTTTCATTTGCCAAACTTCATGAATAAAAGACAAAAAAGAAGAAAAAGACAAAAAGACAGAAACTTTGATAACTTTCATCTGTGATTGATATTGTTTGAGCTCTACTACGGACAGTTATTGGAAGTTTGTATGTACCTAGTGGCATCTGTATCAAAGACGGTAATGCAGCTGAGATCCCAGCATTATTAAAGCTTTAAATTAATGGATTTTCTAGCCTTCTTGCTTGTGTCATCATTAAGAGCTGGTCTGGCTCTGTGTGGGATGAATAAAGACTATTACATGCATTTAAAGAACCCAACTCTGTCATAACTGGAAAACCTGAAGCATTTAAAACCTTCTGAGACAGCAAGTCATCAGCCCATCTATCACAGAGACAGGAATATTGGACTCACTGAAGAGATAATAATTTACCAAGGCTTCAGTGATATTTATAAAGATTTCGGGCTACTGAAAGGCTACTACTTACAGGATATTTTGCTTTTAGAGCAAAATCTCTTGTGGATCTCATTAAGAGTGGTAGTACCTCACGTGGATTCAGTGGCCTTTCCTTCACCCCCTCTTCTAGTAGGGACGCCTCTCTGGGAGCAACTGATGTCAGGAGAATGCAAAATGATATTTCGATACTTCCATACCTCTGATGCGATGCTGTTCGCGTAAGGAATACAGGCTTTTTCATAGCAAATAATTAAGGAAAGGAATGTACTGCAAATCCAATCAAGTGGTAAATCAGTATGGCTTTCGCTGCTTAGACACGGAAGTTTACACTTCTGCTGTGCTGCCAACCAAGGCCTTCACATACGCCTCAGTTAGCAATGTAGCCTGCACAGGCCGCTCACTTCGCAAGGAGGCAAGATACAGCATGGAGATACAACAAGCTTTTGCAATGGGATGTGATGTGGCCTTCAGGATGTGATCTCAGAAGCATACACTCTTTTTTAGAATGCTTTTAGATCTCCACATACTCATGTGGAGATCTAGGGAGGACAGGCACAATCGTAAGGGAGAACTTTTATAATAGTGTACTACAAGATGCATTTTTTTTCCTGGACAACATGATTACAAACCCAGAAAGCTCTGAAAATTCACTGAATTTGCTACTTGTTTCTAAGCTGCGCAGAGCTGAAGCTAGAACAGGGCAGGAAATTTCACCCTTTAAAACTTTTATGATACCTCAAAAACATTCCCTCAGTACATTAAGATGAGTCCAAAGTCCTTTCACAGTTTTTGAAATAGACAATGCTGCAATATTTGGGGGGTTTAGACTTATGTTATATCTCAAAGAAGTAGTCAGGGAGTTGGCATGGTTTAGCTAGTGGAAGTTACACATTAGATGTAAACAGACGGCTACAGGGAAGATTTCCCTCACAAATTCAGCTATTTGTAGGTGTCTACAGGTGAGTGGAATGTCTAAGCATGCATTACAGTCACTGGAGAGCTAGTCCATACTGTCAGTGAAAACAAGAGTTGTTCAGGTGAGCAAATTGAAGTGTCTATTGTAGGCTAAGCTGATGAGAAAAAGATTATTTTGATTGTCTTGAGTTTGTGACATAGAGAGCTTGTGCCATTTGAGAAGCCCCATTGTATCCCTCTTGACTTCCCGCTTCCTGGTCAGAAGGTGTGGATCTTCTATACATCTTGTATCATATCTGGTAGAGCCATGTGGATGCCTCTGATACTCTATAGCCTCTGAAGTGGCACCAGATAGCTATATTTAGGGAAATGAATGAAGATCACCTACGTCACTCAAGTTGGGTATCTTAACTTGAACTGACTCCTAGAAATGCCCATTCAAACTGTAATAGTAGTGTGATATAGCTGGGAAAATCACTGTTATGGAAATTATTCCAGAACTGCTAGTAGATTGTTATCAAGGCATAGAAGTACATGAGGTGAACCATCTCGCCTTTCAACAAGCTTGACTATGTCTGAACTCATTTAAGTTACAGAAGGGAAGTTGGCTCGTGGCCTTGGACAGAGAATTTCAGACTGCTGTACTAAAGGAGATATTTCTCCCACTACAAGACAGCTGAAAGAATCCCAGAACAGACAAAAAAGCGAAAGCCTGGTATGAACAGCCAACTGGTCCTAGGCCAAGTCCACAAAATAGAAGTGCACTAGGGTAATTCGAAGTCCTGACTGACTATGAAATCACGTGTCCCAGGTTCCACCCCTGATGTTCACTGTGGCACTGGTGGCAAGAAAAAAAAAGACAGAAAAAAGCCTGCTGTCTACATGGAAGATTCTCCTTCCACATTAACAATGCAAACCCGATGAATATGACAAGCAGTATTGAAGGGACCTGCCAGACTTCTGGTGCCTTTAACCTCATCAGATTGAGCAGCACAGCAGCTCACAGAAACAAAGTATGGTCACGAGCAATTCAGGCATGTGGCAAGGTTTTGACATAACTGTAGTCCCACAGATCAAGTGCCTGTACTTTTTGGGGAAGATCTCACCTCCCTATTTATTGAGAGGTCAGAATTTATTGAAGGAAAGTTGGAAAGAGAGCTGAGAACACGCTGCTGCCTGTATATAAAAGTGGCATGTGTCTAATCTGAGAAAGAGGTGTCACTTCGTGTTAACATCACCTCAGAATTAAGGAGGAAGAGGGGAAATGAAGAAAAGCAAAAAAAAATAAAAATAGTGGTACTTCATTGGCTGAAGTATAGAAAATGTTGCAGAGCAAGCTGGGTGAGAAGACATGCCCATTCTTTATCCTAGTGCCACACAGGAGCCCACACAGTGCCCACAATGAAATTAAGCAGCAGCACGTACGAAATACATGCCAATACAGCAGGAATAATTAAGACATGGCATTAATTTCTGCAGAGATCCTAATTTTAACTGGACAAAGATGACATGCTCAAACGCAGGTAAATGAGGCACTGGCAGCGTAATTAGGGGAAAAGATATAAATCTCTCACATTTTGGGATGCAAATCAAACACTGAGGGATATTAGTGAAATATTTCTTACTTGAGTAGCAGTACCTAAAATTAACACTGAGGAACACCACCGAGCCTGTCCCCAACCCTCTTTTCTGAATGCAACAGGCATTGAACACTCGGAGATAGATATCCACATACAAAAAATAACGCTCTAAACTCAGCATGAAAATCTCCTTATAAAAATGGGTCACCTGCAGCATATACCTAACAAGACCCCAGCTCAGAAGTAATGCTCACGCATGCTCAGAAATAACATTTTTAATTAAAGAGAAACTTCAAAAAAGTCTTAAAATGGAGAACAATAACTTTATAATCTGAGAAGACTTCTTTTCCTCTTCCCTGACTTTCCAGGTAAAAACCTGAATTTGATAAAGCTTGGCGAACAAAGGAGACCTACAAAGAGGGCTGGGAAATTCAGATACACATTAACAGAAACTTCTGCAAGAGCAACCAACTGAAGGGACTATGACTCCATGTAAAAACATTTAATGTCCCTATAATCAGGCATTCAGGTAGGTTCCACCTCCTGAGAATTAATTACATCAACAGCAGGAGACGCTACTTACCTCACCATTCAAGAAGCAGTAAAATACTGACACAAAGAAACCCTGGAAAGAATAGAAAGCAGTCAGTTATTGTTTAAGTATTTTAACACGCAGAATCAGGACTGAGCTTTATCCTAGGATCATCCTGAGCAAATTATAATCTTGTTGAGATCATCTACTTCTAGACAGTTGAAATCTTTACCCAACAACTTCATGAGAAAATACTGTCTTACAGCTCACAGGTGGCATAAGAGCTAGAATCTAGACAGCTCTTCCACTGATAGAGGACATTGCCACTTCACCTGTGCTGAAGCATTATCTACAGCTTCCAGCTGTCTCCCCAAAACGGCACAGACCCCTCACAGGTGCTATGTCACGCCTGCCAGCTCTAGGTGGATGTCTCAGACATAATAGGGTGGTGGTCAAATGGCCTTAGATGGTCTTGTGTGGGCAAATGTATCATCAGGTTGCTTACGTTCATCTGAGCTGAACTGCTCTGTGGAATCTATTGACAGCGGTGACCAGACCCCTGTAATGACTGCTAAGATTGTAATGACCATGATGGAAGCTCAGATGACAACATGATGACACTTTCATCTCTAAACCTGGGAGCGGAATCCTACACATTTTACTTTCAGCAATGGACTTGTGTTACCATAAAGGAGAGATTCCCTGTGCTTTCTTTCTTACACATGTCTTCATAACTCCAGCAATAAAATAAGCAGTGTAGCATTTTTTGAGACATCGAGCACCAGCAGATAAAAAATATCATTATTTTTAGGGAATGAAAAATGTGGATTGGTTCACTGGTAAAGGCTAAAGTTCCTTTCTTCGTAGATTAAAAAGGACATTTTTCATTTTGAATATTTAGTTTCAATTTCAGCTGGGATGCTCTGCGTTTCAAAGCTAAACATGCAATCAGTAAAACCAGTAATCCAAAGCTCAAAACTTTTGTAGTCCTTAACCCTAGATTTGGCTTGACAGCATGTGTGCTGTGTATTTGTATTGATATCCTGGGTATCACAGTGCTCATTCTGGCAGATAAAACATTAATGTCAAGTTCTACCCTAGTTCAGGAAGCTCTTTAAGCAGAGGTAAAGCTGTAGGACACACCTAAGTAGAAATGTGTGGCTAAACACCGTTCACGGTCTTCAGGCACTTTTGGTTTTGTGTCAAATCCAGAAGGCTGAGGCAATTACTCACATTCCACTACCTTTTACATCCTGGCAGAACTCCTGTTAAACTCAGGGAGGGAGGAGACAGGGTATGAGTTCTCAGCTGGTACGGTCTGATGGCTAAGTGCACGCAGCATTGCAGGAGAGCTGGAGTGAGAGGCTGGGTAATATAACTAACGTCTTAATCAAGCCAGCCCAACAGGTAGGAGTTGTTTCTCCTTGTTTTAGTAGAATCTAGTCTAAGTCTCAGCTCATTGTGCAGTCTGTGAAAAGAACGATGTCTTGGGAGAGTGATTCATCATTCCCTCTCAGGCAGTTTAGGATAGGATGAAACATCATCTCTCTCTTCATCCTGTAGATGGAGCCCAGGTGAGGAGCTGTAGCTATAGGCTGAACACAGTGCTGATGTTAAGGGAGATGAATCCCTTTGGTACACATGGAGAGATCTCCACTCCATATGACATGCTTATACAGCTATTACATCAGCATGAACAAAGCTGAGCTCTTTTCAACTATTATTTCTATCATTTACTTAATTGCCATAAGTTTCATGGCTGAAAAGTACTGAGGATCCTTTCAGCAGTAGCTGGTATCAGCCCTCTTACCTGAAAAGACTGCAGGAAGGAATTGAAATAGATGAAGACAATCTGGGAGATGTCATCTTCACCAGGGTTGACAAAGAAAAGCATATAGGTGATGCCTAGCAGAGGCAGAAGAACTAACGTTGCCTTGACTGCCTTCCTGTGGGGAAGAAACAGAAATCACGAGTGAGCACAAGAAAGAACAACGGTGTTAACTGAACTGCTCTGGATTGACTAAATCCAAACAAACCACTCCTTTAGTGGAGAGGGGGATGAGTCTCAGAGCAATTCAGAGCAAAGTGAAGTACCTACACCAGCTGGAGAGGAAACTTAGGTGCCTCCTTAGGACAGTTCAGCACCTGCACATGTCAAAATATGGTAAGAAAGCAAAAGGACAGCCTAAGACTGTCCCATATGTGCAGGCACTGGAAGAAAGAAGCATTTTAAGAGGGAAATCCACATATCAACTTCCATCCAGTGTCTAACACGAGTGAATGGAGTTAGGGAACACAAGTACTCCCTGTGGGTACCTCCACCTCTCAAGGTATGCTGCTAGAGCACGTGCTGAGGGTAGCAGTGGAAGACTATATTTGCACAATGGACAAAACCAATTTGAGCTTTTTGCCAGAAGGACATCCAAGTTTTAGACACTTCTCAGCCTGCCTGCAGAGGAACGGTCCCGAGGTTTGTGAACAGATTATTGTGCAACCCGAGATGGAAGCTCCTAGGGTCCTCAGGCAATGAAGAACACAAGTTTCTTAGGGCTTGGGAGAGAATATTTAAGGGGGAACCTATGGGATCCCATGTCCGAAAGGCTGGATAGAGTTTAGCAGGGTAGTGTGGAAAGAGGGACAGCCTCCACTTTGGGTTGTGAAGCCACAGGTGAGTTTGCCAGTTAACACTTTCTGACCAGTGTCTGACCACCTGGAGAAACATGTTCTGGAAAAGCATTTGACTTTGAATCCTGCTGTCCCCTGAACTCCAGGGGACAAATGGAAACCTTTTTTAAAGCCCTCCCTTTTTCTCTTTTCTTCTTCCAGACAGTTTCGGTCCTATGAATGAGGCTTGCATTAGGCTGAAGCCTTGAGATTCCCTGCAGCCCCAGTGAGTGATTTCTTACACCTCAGGGTGATGCCGAAAGTGCACAATTCAGCTGCTGTGCCTGTGAGACCTGCTCTGCTCCATCTTTTGATTCTGTCTGGAGTATAAACGCGCTCTCTCTGCAACACCTGCACACCCAACACAATTGCTTAGGACTGTCTTATAAATAATACACAAGCAGATGGTGCACAATGCCGTGTAAGTGATTATTAACAGAATTATTAGAGGCTAATTTTTATTATTGGTGCTATAATAGTGTCTGGGATGTCAGCTGCGGAACAGCACCTCATTGTGCTAGATACTGTACAAACACAGAAGACTTCAATTTTGCCAAGTCTGGATAAATCCCTGCATAATGCCATAACAGGCAGATAAAGACAGGCAATTAGGCAGGCAGGGGAGCACAAAAACATTGCCAGTGTCAGGGGAGAGTGACAGTCTTAACAAAGTAGCTGCCCGTGGTGGGCAGACCCTGGCTGGATGCCAGGTGCCCACCAAAGCTGCTCTATCACTCCCCCTCCTCAGCTGGACCGGGGAGAAAAAACATAACGAAAAGCTCGTGGGTTGAGATAAGGACAGGGAGGGATCACTCACCAGTTACCATCACAGGCAAAACAGACTCAACATAGGGAAAAATTAATTTGATTTATTGCCAATCAAATCGGAGTAGGAAAATGAGGAATGAAAATAAACTTTAAAAATACCTTCCTCTCACCCCTCCCTTCTTCCTGGGCTTAACTTCACTCCCGATTTTCTCTACCTTCTCCCCTCACAGTGGTGCAGGGGAATGCGGGTTGCAGTCAGCTCATCACATGTTGTCTCTGCTGCTCCTTCCTCTTCAAGGGGAGGACTCTTCACACTCTTCCCCGGCTCCATTGTGGGGTCCCTCTCATGAGAGACAGTCCTCCATGAACTTCTTCAATGCGAGTCCTTCACAGGGGCTGCAGTTCTTCACAAACTGCTCCAGCAGGGGTCCCTTCCACCAGGTGCAGTCCTTCAGGAACACACTGCTCCAGTGTGGGTCCCCCACAGGGTCACAGGTCCTGTCAGCAAATCTGCTCCAGCATGGGCTCCTCTCTCCACGGGTTGACATGTCCTGCCAGGAGACTGCTCCAGTGTGGACTTCCCATGGGGTCACAGCCTCCTTCGGGCATATCCACATGCTCCGGTGTGGGGTGCTCCATAGGCTGCAGGTGGATCTCTGCTCCATCATGGACCTCCATTGGATGCAGGAGCACAGCCTGCCTCACCATGGGTCTTCACCATGGGCTACAGGGAGATCTCTGCTCCAGTGCTTGGAGTACCTCCTGCCCCTCCTTCACTGACCTCAGTGTCTGCAGAGTTGTTGCTCTCACAGATTCTCACTCCAATCTTTGGCTGGAGTTGCGCCATTTTTTTCCCCCTTCTTAAGTATGTTATCACAGAGGCTCTACCACTGTCTCTGATGGGCTCGGCCTTGGCCAGTGGTGGGTTCATTTTGGAGTCAGCTGGCATTGGCTCTGTCGGACATGGGGGAAACTTCTAGTAGCTTCTCACAGAAGCCACCTCTGTTGGTTTATGTGGTGGGGTTTTGGTAGCAGGGGAGGAGATGCAGCGACAGCCCCTGTGAGGAGATGTGAGAAGCCTCCTCAGCTCCAAAACTGCTTGGACCTGCCTCTGGCCAAGTCGGACTCCCCCTCCCCTCAGGTCAAGGATGAGCCATCAGCGCCTCTGCAAATGCCATGTTTAAGAAGGGGACAAAGGAGCCCGAATCAGGCTGGATGCACAGTGAGGAGAGGGGTGAGGCGGGGGGCCTCCCCCCAGCCTCCCGGGCAGGCAGCTGCCCACGTTGGGCCACTGCCACTCGACTGGAGATGGCTGTGGCAGTGCGATTTGGAAAGCTCCAAAGTGCCCCGCTCCCAAGGTGCCAACTGGTTGGAGTTCGTCCTGCTGGGACCACCAAGGTTCGTCGCGCCCAGCATGGCTGCAGCGGAGAGACGACTGAAACCTGAGAGAAATGGCCACGCAGACATCAGGTCAGCGAAGGTGGAGCGGGAGGAGGTGCCGGAGCTGAGATTCCCCTGCAGCCCAACGGTGGTGCAGAGACCCACCCACAGTCCGTGGAGAACCTCATGCTGGAGCAGAGACGCCTGTGCCTGAGGGAGTTTGCAGAGGACTGTCTCCATGGGAAGGACCCTCCACACTGCTGGAGACTGATGGTGAAGCAGAGATGCATCTGCAGTCCGTGGGAAGGGACTCCACACCAGAGCAGGTGGCTGCACCCTATGAAGCTGTGACTCAGTGGGAAAAGCCCATGCTGGAGCAATCTGAAGGGTAAGGATTGCATCCTGCAGGAAGGGCTCACATTGTAGAGCTTTGCGGACTATTTCCCATGAGGAGGGATCCCACGTTGGACCAGGGGAAGAGTGTGAAGAGTCCTCCCCCTTCTAAGGAAGAAGCAGCAGAAACAACGTGTGACGGACTGACCTGCAACCCCCCCATGCCTGGTCCCCCTGTGCTGCTGGGAGGAGGAGGTAGATCTGGGAAGAAGGGAGGGGTGGGGGGAAGGTGTTTTTAAGATTTGGTTTTGTTTCTGAATGAACAGTTAAGGAATTAAATTGATTTTATCCTCAAACTGAGCCTGTTTCGCCCGAGGCCATGGTTGGTGGATGATCTCTCTCTGTTCTTATCTCGACCCTCAGGCCTTTTGCTACATTTTTCTCCTCTCCACCCCCCCGAGGGGAAGGAGTGAGTGAGGGGCTGCCTGGTGGCTTAGCTGCTGGCTGGGCTAAACCACGACACCAGACACCACCCCTGTGGCCCCCCTGCTACCAAAACCTTGTTATACAAACCTGACATACTGCCACATCATTTAATATTTGCTTAACAACGGTTTGGACTACGTAGCTTTAGAGCAGCAAGGCTTGCCCCAGGTCTTCTTGGAATGATAAGGATTTCTATTCAGGCTGTGAGAAAGAAGATTCCCTCACAGAGCTTGTAGTGAGGATAAGATCACCGTCATCTGTTCAACGATGAAGGCAGTTACTTTAGGTTGCTTCAGAATCTAACATCTCTAATGCCCTCTGCAAACTGCAGCAGGCAGAAAATGTACTGAGATTTGAATCAGTGTTTTTTCGTTTTAGATTTACAGCATGAGGTTTGAGTATGAAAAAGGGGTATTTTCCTCCTTTGGTTCTCAGGAAACGTGCAGAGAAGAGTCTGAACAAGAAAATCAGACCACTGCATTAACTTCACATTTGTCCCCAAACCCCAGACAGAAGTCAAAGGACGGAATCAGGCAAAACAACAAAACCTCATTACTGCAGCAAAACTGCCTCCAAAGTCAAGAGCAGGGTGGTTTGAGGATATCGGGATTCAAGTCTCAGCTTGATACAGTAAGATTTTATCTAAAAACAATTTAGAGGCTTGTGACCCATTTTACTCTACAAAATCTATGCTGTTTCCCACTGTGAGGACCTGTCCATAAATACTCCAAAACTCTGGCCCATCTTGCAAGATACTGAAAATGGTAAGACAAGAAAGGCTTTTAGACTGTTTAGACTGATCTCAGTCCACACTGTGGCTGGAAGGGGCCAGGCCACCTTCCTTCTGCTGCCACGGGCTAAACATTCCTGTCTTGTCCTTTCTGCCATACTAGTGCTTGTGAGGTTACACAGCCAGCTCAGGAAACTGATCCACCTGGGAAGCCATCCCATATAAAGAAAGGTAATGATTAGTTAAGGATCAGTTCCGTGATGCAACCCGCTGAGTGGTTACACTAATGCTGGGACCGGCTGATGGTAGAGGGCACAATCGCCCTTCATTCCCACACCCTACACTTCAAAAAAACCATTAAACTCTACTGTAAATACCTGTACACACACAGTAATCATTAGCAACGATACTGTTATTGATTACAGATGTAAGAGTTTCGGCCAAGGCTCTGCTCTTTTACTTCTGTCTCTGTTAGGTTATTAGCATGAACAAGGATCTTAATATGCATGTGGACATGATTTATTCCAAAGTCTTGATATTGTGTTGCTCTGCATCTATAAAACTAGAGACTGGGACAGAGAAGCAACCTAGCAGGGACTCAACAGTTTGCCACTGATTCCCCAGATTAGCTGAATGAATGGTCTAGTCATCGGTGAAAGGAGTTAGGATATATTTTTATAATATAATACATATAGAGATTGATAAAGTTCCTTGTCCTCACTTGAAATCGAATCCCTCAGATTTCATTGGAAGGGGGAAACTTCAGATATGTGCTGGGGCATGTGCAAGCCTGAAGGAGGTAAAGACACTGGTGGTTGCGGCAAGTATCTCCACGCCTGTACACCCAGCCTGTTTGCATTGTTTGGACACTGAAATGGAGTGGATAGAAACAATGTAGGCACATTTTTACAGGTAGCCTGCAAAAATAAATACTGTGTACCTAACAGTATGAGCTCGAGGGGTGAGAAAGGCACCCTCTGAGATCAACAGTGGCATCTGGAAAGACAAAGATGGGGCAAGGACAGGGCAGGCAAGGCAGCTCGTTGTTAACACCACAAACAGCAAGAAGCACCAGCTGACTTACCTGTACTGTATTGTTTCTGAAGTGGTAGAAGCTCTCAGCTTTGTCATTAAAATCCTAACTATGTTAAATAGAAATACAAAATTTATCTGCAAAAGAAGGAAAAGAGAGGAAAAAATAACTCCAGTGAGTCAAACAGTGGCTTAAAGGATGTGACAGACCTTAAAAGGCACATTTTGCAGTTCCAATCTGATTGAAAACAGCCTCTTGGTTTTAGCATTGATTGCAACAGACTCAGAATTTTACTAGAAATATCAGATTATGCAGCAAAAATCCAACAGCTATTAATGTTTTCAGAACAGCAAAGAAAATGGAGTACAAAAGGAATGGTCCCAGCAAGGAACTTACTTTTACCCCCTTTTACTTCATTCCTGGGTGCTACAAAGAACTAAGGGTGGGATTTGTTTGGCTGTTTGCATCCATGTCTGGCTCAGCTCATCCAAGGCTCCCTGTGCAGGATATTTGGCAGCACTGGGCTGTGTTTGAAACCACTCTCCCACTTCACTGCAGGCTGTGATGGTTACGTAGGGCTCCCCAGACCCAAAGTACAAGACTGCATTGCCGAGATCTGAATGTGAGCTAGTCACACTGGACTCCTATCATATTTGGTGGAGGCTATACATTGCACTCCACAAGAGACATTTAAAACAGAGCAGATGAATCATACTTGAAAAATGCCTATTTTTTTGCACTGTCTTTAAAGGTGAGATGATGGATTTACCACTTCTCTTTTTAATCTGCTGAGCTGGGTAATTATTATTTCTCTCACCGCTGAGAACTGAGATTTGCCCTAATTACTGTTGTTGTAGCACTGCTAACCATTTTCTTACATAAGTTTCCTCTCAGTGTAAACAGGAAAGAAAAAAAAAAAAACAAAAGAAGATTCTGATTTGTAGACTGTCAGCAGCAGAAGGATTTGGCACCTAGGAGAGAGTTTTGGGTTGCTTTCAACACATAAAGTAGGGTAGCTTGCAACATACTGATCTGTCTCAAAATTGTCAATGATGTACCTAAAGGGGGCCTGCAAGAAAGCTGGAGAGGACTTTTGACAAGGGTGTGTAGTGATAGGACAAGGGGCAATGGATTTAAACTGAAGGAGAGGAGATTTTGATTAGATCTAAGGAAGAAATTCTTTACTCAGAGGGTGGTGAGGCACTGGAACAGGTTGCCCAGAAAAGTTGTGGATGCCCCATTCCTGGAAGTGTTCAAAGCCAGGTTGGATGAGGCTTTGAGCAACCTGGTGTAGTGGAGAGTGTCTCTGCCCATGGCAGGGGGATTGGAATTAGATGATCTTTGAGGTTCCTTCCAACCCAAACCATTCTATGATTCTATGTACACTGTCAGAACTACAGAACTCTTACCTCAGGACTGCTGAGGTCACAACCTAAGCTTGTGAGAAGATAGGTATCTCACATGCATTTCCAGAGTCCCAGGGCTCCTGGCATTTTGCAGTCTAGGAATGGAACAATTCTGTGATTGACTTCCAACTATTTATGAACGCTGTAGCAGAGTTGACAATTTGAAGGTGTTCTCAAAATAAGGTCCTTTTTTTCAGTGTAACGTGGCATATTTCAGTTATTACAATATCTTGGCATCCGTCATATCACTCCCTGCAGTCACTGTAACATTGTTTACAACAAATGGTGCAATAAGCACCCGAGCAGACACTGGGAGACTGGCAGCGCTGGGAATCAGGTACATTAAACGCTTATTATGTGAGACACAAAAATGCTGCTGTAGGAGTTAACGTGTGACACTTCTTGAAATGATTTTCTTAACAGAGCAGAGCCTTAGGGAGTATAAGAAACAAATAAAACTGCAGTTTCTATACTTGTTCTTGGTAGAATTGTCTTTGTCATATTCAAGAGCTTGAAGTCAACTGGTTCTCCCTTTATTTATCAGAGACAAAACCAGCTTCATATCACTGGTTTGACTCGAATCTTAAACTCCTCACATTGGTGACTGCACCATTCCTCGATAACAGAAAGAGAAATGTTCAGGCAGTGTCTACTGCAGGGGCGGTGGATGCGGGTGTCCTTCACAAAAAGAACACTGCTGCCTCTGAAATTCTCCCATCAAATCTCAAAGTTCTTCATCAGCTCAGAGCCAGGTTTGGGTTACTTCTATCGAGAATGCAAAAAAGGCACCAATCCAAAACTTGCCACTTTTGCAATCATAATGGAAGGTGCCAGAAGGAATTAGACTCTTAGGCAAGGGCAAGCTCCAAGTATAACGAAGACTAATCACATGGGATTAACATGATGAACTGGGCTGGGGAAAGCATTTCAAGTTTCATGAGTCCTAGTCTGATGTGACAGCAGGGAACTGGAAATTGAAATTGCCACAGGCTGCATCAGATAAATTAGGGATTTTGATCCTCTCTCAGATTAAATTGCAGAAGTGTGATTCATCAGTTCAGGAGGAGAATTGCTAGCTGAAAAGTTTGGGAGTTACTTCACTAGAAATACTCTTATCTACATAAATCAATTTTTCATTCTCCTCCTCTTTCCCCTAAGCTCCCCCTATCCAAGAGTTGCAGAAAGAAAACAATGATGACATATAGAAAAGATGTATTAATACATTTCACCTAGATGTTCACGTGTGTTTGCACTGATGCCAGGTGACAGCTGGCTTGCTCATCTCGTTGGCAGCAGTAACAGAATCATAGAACCGTGGAATGGTTTGGGTTGGGAGGGACCTTAAAGACCATCTAGTTCCAACCCCCCTGCCATGGGCAGGGACACCCTCCACTACACCAGGTTGCCCAAAGCCTCATCCAGCCTGGCCTTGAACACTGCCAGGGATGGGGCATCCACAACTTCTCTGGGCTGACTATCTCGATTGATGCTCACTGTGTGCTGGGTACAACCTAAAGCTGAGCATCCCAGTGGAGACCACATTCAGGGAGACAATTCAGCTACACAAGCACAGACCACAGCAGCATCTGAGGCACTCCTGCATAGCTGAGGCCTACGAGTGGCACTGGTACATGTGACACAGGGCTGATAAGAGACCCCAACTGTCTACAGCAGCAGAAGGCACATATACTGGTGCTTACTTTTAACAAGCTGCTCAGGTGTCAGAGGAAAGCCTGCTAGTGACATTATTTCTGTAACATTTTCGAGGTGAGAGGAGCACTGAAACCAGATCTGGGGCATTGGCCACTCACCCCAAGTCCTCTTCCAAGATCTTGCATTGAATATGCTGCACATCCTTAGTCACATGAGCCGTGTTCAAGCTTGTGGGTCTGAAGACAGCCACTAAAATCCACCTTGAGATACTCAGTAATCTCAAGTCTTCATTTCAGAGCGACTATAATCCTGCCTCTTCCATTAATGCTTGTAGTCATGTATTTGTCAACAAGGTAGATGGTCTTGGAAACATCTTATTTTTATATTGTTTTCCTTCTATCTTCCTCCCAAAGTTCTCTTTTGCTGTGCAATCCTTCAAACACTGGATGGGCTGCTTTGGGTCTCATGCCTGCAATAAAACTGAGTTGTCTTGTGGAGAACCCTAAGGTAGACACCTACCCCTGAGCTAGTTACCACCAGCTCCTTTAATAACCGATGGAGAAAACCAGCTACTTTTACATTATAGTTCCTCCTGTCTGTTTGAGATGTTTACTTCAGCATGAGATGACTCCACTTTGAAGTGCCTCTTTAAGTGACTTGCTTAGACAGACCTGTTGGAAGGGCATTATATTATAGGGCTGTATTACAGGGCTGAATTTATTTCCCTAAACACAGTCACTGAGAGACATTTTTGGTGCCATGGTATATCTTGCCTGACCTCAAACTAATTTTTCGGATGATATGGGCTTTCTAGGGGATCTGTATTCTCTCTGCCAAACCCATGTGGGGCGGATAGAGCATCTGAAAAGGTACTATGCACCTACATTTAGGCAAAAATATCTCTCTTCTGAGTTAGATTAAATAAATTCTATCTTGACAGTCTTAACATTTCCCAATGGAATAGCTGTGAATACAAAGTCACACCGATTTTTGGAAAAGGATGAAGGAACAGAACAAGAATTCTTTGGTTAATGGTTGACTGCCTTAACTCGTCTGGCACTTTGGTGCTACAATAGTAATTGTCATTTACAGAAAATCTGTCCCACTGATCACTGAAGGCTCCCAAACCATTGGAATTCCACCTTACCCTCTCTCTTCTGAGTTAGATTAAATAAATTCTAATCTTGACAGTCTTAACATTTCCCAATGGAACAGCTGTGAATACAAAGTCACACTGATTTTTGGAAAAGGATGAAGGAACAGAACAAGAATTCTTTGGTTAATGGTTGACTGCCTTAACTCGTCTGGCACTTTGGTGCTACAATAGTAATTGTCATTTACAGAAAATCTGTCCCACTGATCACTGAAGGCTCCCAAACCATTGGAATTCCACCTTACCCAACTGCAGAAACAAACTCAGACCTGGGAGTTTTGTCTCCTGTTTTGATCTTCATAAATGGCTGCTCTGTAAAATCCTAGATCCAAACTCCTCTGGATTCTTAGGGAGGGTCCCAAGTTTAAACTGATCTGAACTCCAGACCTAACATTTACTCACACAATTATACTTTGCTAACATTCAACATAGGAATTCAAAATGCCTGTCAAAGCCCTGGTAGTCACCTAAGGACAAGTATCAGACCTGACATCCAGTCATCTGATCACCCTGCATACCTTGATGTGTAAAGAGTAAGTGTGAGGACAAACATTCAATGATGCTGCCCAAGTAGAGAGTCCTACTTTTAGCAACAGGCAACTCCAAGGACTTTTAAAGACAGGAATTAGAGTCTCATCTCTGTGTCTCAATGAGCCTTTCCTCCCTGAATGGGTCTAACCCAGGCATCCTACCTGAGCTTGAACTGAATGAATGTGGCTGTATCTACTGCGACATTATATTTATGAAAGCTTAAAAAAATGTTTTGAGGCACCAATGTCAAGGGTTCCCTTTTGTCTCTACTAAGGTTCCTCTCGGAGATCTTTAAGACTTGAATAAGACAACCTCTCAAAGGCAGAGCTTAGCAAACAAAAAATTCCAAGGCAAAAGAAGCAAATGTGGTAACATCAAAATACTTGTTTCTGGTTTTGCC